ATTGTTGAAGCGGCTGTTTCTAGCTGTGGTCGCAAGGTGGCCGGTGTCAGTCGTGGTGGCAACCCCCGTACCCGCTGGTAGACACCAGAGGTTCGGGGAGCCGTCAGGCTGAAGAAGGAGGCCTACAGGGCGTGGCTGGTCTGTGGGTCTCCGGAGGCAGCAGACAGGTACCAGATAGCCAAGTGGGGTGCAGCAGTGGCAGTTGCCGAGGCAAAATCTCGGGTGTGGGAGGAGTTTGATGAGGCCATGGAGAAAGACTATCGATCGGGGGGTATCGTCCTGGATATCTCAAGGCTATGGATTTTGTAGGGCTGTCATGGCTGACACGTCTCTGCAAAATTGTGTGGTCATCGGGGGCAGTTCCTGTGGAGTGGCAGACCGGGGTGGTGGTCCCCATCTTTAAGAAGGGTGACCTGAGGGTGTGTTGCAACTATAGGGGGATCACACTCCTCAGCCTCCCTGGAAAGGTCTACTCCAAAGTACTGGAGAGGAGGGTCCGATCGATAGTTGAATCTCAAATTGAGGAGGAGCAATGTGGTTTTCGTCCTGGCCGTAGAACTGTGGACCAGCTCTATACCCTTGCAAGGGTGATGGAGGGGGCATGGGAGTTTGCCCAACCAATCCACATGTGTTTTGTGGATTTGGAGAAGGCTTATGACCGTGTCCCCAGGGACACCCTGTGGGGGACGCTTCAGCAGTATGGGGTGGGTGGCTTTCTGTTAAGGGCCATTCAGTCCCTTTACCAGAGGAGCGTGAGTTTAGTCCGCATAGCCGGTAGTAAGTCGGACCTGTTCCCAGTGAGGGTTGGACTCCGCCAGGGCTGCCCTTTGTCACTGGTTCTGTTCATTACCTTTATGGACAGAATTTGTAGGCACAGCCGTGGTGTGGAGTGTGTCGAGTTTGGTGGCAGGAGAATCTCATCTCTTCTTTTTGCAGATGATGTGGTGCTTCTAGCTTCATCCAGCTCTGACCTTCAGCTCTTGCTGGGTAAGCTTGCAGCCGAGTGTGAAGCGGCTGGGATGAGGATCAGCACCTCAAAATCTGAGACAATGGTTCTCGACCGGAAAAGGGTGGCTTGCCAACTCCGGGTCGGAGGAGAGGTCCTACCTCAAGTGGAGGAGTTTAAGTATCTCGGGGTCTTGTTCACGAGTGAGGGTAGGAGGGATCGGGAGATCGACAGGTGGATTGGTTCAGAATCTGCAGTGATGTGGATGCTGAGCCGATCTGTCGTGGTGAAGAGGGAGCTGAGCCAGAAAGCCAGGCTCTCAATTTACCGGTCGATCTATGTCCCAATCCTCACCTATGGTCATGAGCTTTAGGTAATGACTGAAAGAACGAGATCGCAGATACAAGTGGCCGAAATGAGTTTCCTCGGTAGGGTGGCCGGGCTCAGCCTTAGAGATAGGGTGAGGAGCTCGGACATTCGGGAGGGACTCGGAGTAGAACCGCTGCTCCTCCGGATCAAAAGGAGCCAGTTGAGGTGGTTTGGGCATTTGGTCAGGATGCCTCCTGGACGCCTCCCCGGGGAGGTGTTTCGGGCATGTCCTGCTGGCAGGAGGCCCCCGGGTCGACCCAGGACACTTTGGAGAGGTTACATCTCAAATCTGGTCCAGGAACGCCTTGGGGTCCTGCCGGAGGAGCTGGTGGAGAAGGCCGGGGAGAGGACAGTCTGGAGCTCCCTAGTTGGGATGCTTCCCCCGTGACCCGGACCCGGATAGCGGAGGAAGACGACGACGATAGATAATATTTTTTCAATTATTGCTGTCACCAAAAAGCTAACTGTGGGTATCGATAGCTGATTAATGCTTTGTGTAAACCCAAGTCACCATAGCTAAAGATCACTAAACACAAAGATGGTGAAAACTCAATTCTACAGATATTTGGACAAAATGTTGGTATTCCAGCTTGCTTGTTAAGACATACTTTTATCATCTTTGTTCAAAATGTTGCCTTTATTGAAGTCCAATATGTAAACAAAATATCTCGTGAACCAATGCACATATTTTATTGGAACTCTGAAAGTAAATAATACACATACATCTAACAATGATGTATAACAAGTCAGTTAAAGATGGCCACCATAGTGGACCTTAGGACCTATCAATGTCAAGGCGCCTAGCCTTGCAAAACGATGTCTTACTAGGCTGTTTTAAATCATAGACGAAACAAAGAAATTCTTCAATTGTAGCTGTTTTTAAAGGAATTTTACCACATTCAGGTCTTTTGCAGCCAATTTTAACTAAATAATAAAGCTAAGAGAGATCATGAATGGCTATTTCTTTAGTACCTATTACAAAGCTAAAACTGAGGCTAAAGTTGTCACCCAATCTTGAGTCCAGTGTCAGAGAGAGGGACACCTGACCTTGAGACAATCTAACACTTTAATGTCTCCTTCACACGCTCTTTCATTCCAATGGATTTAAAACCCTAAAAGACCATCTCAGCAGTTGTTATGATCAACATTTTGCCAGCCATAAAGTCCAGTATTCAGCGTGATCTGAAACCGGCTCCGCCGTTGGTCTGATATGTTGCTTGAGTAGGAAATAACAGGGGAAAGATCTTCCTATTGCTACGGTAACAGCTGTGATGGCAGCCGCTATGAGTAACAGGCGTTTCATTGACCATTTATGCACCAGTTTGGATGGGCAAGCAGATGGGCTGGGCCAGGTCTAGAACCTGTCATTAATAAACACATACCATTAAATACCGGCTTGCCAATTGCCACAGAGAAAAACTAATTTCATTTTCCAACCCTTGCACACACTCACACACACACACATGCACGCACACACACACACACAAAATGAAAAAAGACCATCTTCCACGCACCTTTTCTCTGCGTTTGACAGACTTCTCCACCCACTAGTTTAAGATGCAATGCATTTCTCCTAATATGCCCAAAGAGCACGAAGCCCTAATCTAATTAGAGTGTCAGTCAGCAGAGTGTTCAGCCAAAGAGAAATTAGGAAAGCACAAAATCTACAAACAGGAAAAAAAATCTTGCAAGGATGTGGCATATCCAACCACCCCACCGAATCCTCCCCTCACCACCCACCACCACCTTTTTGTGATATTTTTTTAATGGGTTCATCATTGCCCCTGCTGAGATTCATTACCTGGCCTAATTATAAAGGCAAATGAAATCAGCTCAATACATTATTAATAGAGGAGCACTACTGGAATTCATTTGCAGTATTTGCAACAGTATGGTATATTCCAACTGCTTTCATGGCTGATTAAACGCACATACTGATAAGAATAGAGTATATGAGTGTGGTGGAAGTGCACAAGGTGACGATGACTCCAAAGCCGAGGAGTGGACTTGAAGAGAAAGACGGGAAAAGGAAAGAGCAGAAAAGAGGGTTTTGGTGAAGGGAGGGAGGATTAAAGAGAGTGCTGGCTTTTCCACTTGAGGAGCTATTGATGCTATATTGGATGCAGCTACTTATGAACAGGTGTGTTGTGTGTGGGGACTGTGACCCCGGCTCCACTTCTTGCATGGCTACACATCCGATTGAGGCTCACTGAAGCTGGGCAGACATCAGCCACCGTCAGGCCTAAGATGAAGGGACAGACACACAACAGCATCTCCATCCCTCAGCGTGGGAAGGTAAGGGGGGAGATGCGGAACATGTATTTGTTTGGATTGCTATGGAAATGGAGGTAGTAATATCAGTTAATTGGATATTAAATTATTGATAAAGTCTAATTTAAAGTGGAACTAGGGAGTTTTGGCTTGCCTTTATCACCCCCTAGTGTCTGTTTCTAGAACCGAAAGCAAAACCTATCTCCTTGCTGTGCATTCATCTTTTTAACACCTTAATCCACCAACTGAAACATCTGATTTTTAGGTAAATCCACTCATCAATCATGTTTCTAATGACAAAAGCAGGTTTTCCTCACATTGCCTTCATGCACATTTTATCATGATGGAGAATGTTGACTGAGTCAATGTCACCAAGCTGTCATGTAAGAAGATCTGTTTTGTTTTGCTTTTTTAGTATTTATTGTCTACAGTACAAACAAACAAATCATCTGTTCGGAAAAGACTAAAGTCTAGAATCTAGTTCTTGTAAATTATTGTCATGTTCAATAACATTTTCGGGAGAGTGAAAATGCCTTTTTTAATAACACTTCCACCAACAACAACCAGTCACTTTGTGATGAAATATTGCAACAGTTATCTTGCATATCTTGTAATTCTTTGAGACTTCAGAAAATCTGCTCCAGGAGCAAACTCGCTTAGTCCGACAGTCTTGGGCAAACAGTTTTCTGTACAGATGACTCATTTTAAATAAGCTAGAGCTTATTTTTTAATCTTGTGTGAGATCCCCACAACTTTAGGGTTTAGGATTATGGGTCACACTTCAAATGCAATGATTCTGCAAGAATGTAGATAGAAGCGATTTAAATAATAATCTGAAACCACCTATTTATTGGATTTTAAAGTGTGGTGGCTGCATGCAATAACTTTATGTATTCATTTTAGCTTAAATTCTTCATTAGAACAAACTGTTTTAATAGAATCAAGGCTTATTTTGAAAAGGTCGACTGATATGAACTCTTGTTTTTTGCACACACAGGTTACGTGTGTGTGCACATGCATGTGTGTGTGTTAAGGTTGAATATTTGTTGAGCATTTCTCACTTTTTTACTGGAGCGCTAGAGCATACAGGTTATTGTGAAAAAAATAATTCTACTCTAAGAGAGTGGATCATCAATGTTTTAAAGGTCAACTGCAAAAAGCTCCACAAACAAAATAAAAAATACAGAATAACTTCAATAACTCAGCAGACCAAACAAACAAACGTAAGCCATGAAGTCTATGTTTGTCCTAATTTCAACAGTCTCTGTGATGCTGATCAGATTGTCATTAGAGACAAATACCCAGTTTGTTAGTTTAAGGGGAGGCTCGTATAGGAGCAGAGGAAAAGTTTGTTAAGGAGTGGGGAAAAAGACAGAATGCATCCTGGGAAAGAGAAGAGAGAATCCAACATTACCGTCACGCCATCTTGCCATACGTGCTCCTTCTGAAGTTGTTCAGCTTCTCTGGCCAATTTCTGCAAGACAACATAAAAACAGCAGTATGGATATCAGACATAAGGATAGACCAATGTCTCAGGCTGATATCTACCATTTTTTATATACCATCATCAGCCAATGTACCACTTTGTTAGATACACTTTGGTTCATTTTTTGACTTTGACACTGAGCAGTGAATAAAATTAAGTTTCAACAGATGATTAAATTCAGAGTTAAAAACAGATTAGGCTCCAAAAAGTTGTGCATCAGCTGTTATTAGTGACATTTTAGCATGCAAATAAGGTGGTAAATGTTAAGTGAGAGTGTGACGTAGATCTGTCAGGAATTTCAAATTCTAGAGTTTCACTGTCTATTTTCTATCAGAAGCTAATGCAGGAGATATGTTAGGAGACTATTTTCATGTTTTCTGCATGAAAACCTCAAAGTGACTGATTATAATCAGAAATAAGTTTCAGTGTCCCACATCTTTAACATTTAATACAAAAAGTTAAAAAGTTGTTAAAACAATTTAGAGTTTAACTGTAATATTTAATCATCCCATCGCAGTGGTAACCACCACTCCATAGTTTTGGTACCATGATGTAGCTTTAGCATGTCCCTGGAAATGCTCATAAGGGAAATCATCAATGCAGCAGCTATCTCAGGTCTTTAGAATTTCTCTCCTGCTCTACCACACATCTACACTTCCCTCCTTCCCATCTTGAGCCTCCGTATCTAGGTTTCCTCAGGCCTCTAGGGGGCGATGTTATTTTTGTCCTAGATTAGTGAGATTGGCCACAAAATCCCAAGGCTCTGAAATTACTAACCCTACTTAGACCCCCTTGCTGCAGTGAGAACTCTTTCATTTGTGGAGCTGCAGCAAAGGAGTCTGTCGTCTGTTATTGGAAATGTCTCTTCAGCAAAAAACAAAACAAATAAATAAATAACACTAAAGACCGAATATAGAAGGTGCCCTATTTATATAAAATGCAGTGATCACCACAAAGAGACAATACTGGTAGTTTCAATGCATTCACAAGGCTTAAAATGTCACGTTATCTGTGACTAATTATTGGAAAAAAGTCAAGTGTGAAGCAGCTGGGATGAGGATCAGAGGTCTGAGGTCAAGGACCTTAAGTGAGAAATGGTAAACGGCCAACTTACAGCTGGGAAAGAGCCTTTGCTCCAGGCAAAGGAGGTCAAGTATCTCAGGGTCTGGGTCAAACATGAGACCCTCAATTTACCAGTTGGTTTAAGGTCCAGATTAGAGCCGGTTTGGGTAAGGACGCCCTCTAGGTACCCTCCAAAAGAAGTTTTTCAGACATGTTCCACTGAGAGGACCCCCGGGACTTGTCAGAGTGTTCATATCTCACAGCTTGCCCTGGGAGGGCCTCCTAAAAAAGGCTGGGGGATGTAGCTGGAGAGAGGAATCTCTAAATATCTCAACCTGAGTTGACGCCTCCTGCATCCCAGTGTCAGATAAGCACCAGAAGAATGGACTTCAAGCAAGTGTGCATTCATATCAAAATGCAGGTAATTCTCAGTCATCTGATTAGTCATGTTCTGTGATCTTTTCAACAATATTAATAAAAGTTAATTGTCCCATTTCACAATATGAAAACAATGGAATAAGGCTCTCATTTGACCCAGTGGGTCTATTAATGACACAATAATCCTTTTTTTATTAAACAGGATAAACTTTGTTCCCAGTGAGGGTTGGACTCCGCCAGGGCTGCCCTTTGTCACCGGTTCTGTTCATCACTTTTATGGACAGAATTTCTAGACGCAGCCGTGGTGTGGAGTGTGTCGAGTTTGGTGGCAGGAGAATCTCGTCTCTGCTTTTTGCGGATGATGTGGTCCTCCTAGCTTCATCCAGCTCTGACCTTCAGCTCTTGCTGGGTAGGTTCGCGGCCGAATGTGAAGCGGCTGGGATGAGGATCAGCACCTCCAAATCTGAGACCATGGTTCTCGACCGGAAAAGGGTGGCTTGCCACCTCCGGGTCGGGGGAGAGGTCCTACCTCAAGTGGAGGAGTTTAAGTATCTCGGGGTCTTGTTCACGAGTGAGGATAGGAGGGATCGGGAGATCGACAGGCGGATTGGTTCGGCGTCTGCAGTGATGCGGACGCTGAGCCGATCTGTCGTGGGGAAGAGGGAGCTGAGCCAGAAAGCCAGGCTCTCGATTTACCGGTCGATCTACGTCCCAATCCTCACCTATGGTCATGAGCTTTGGGTAATGACCGAAAGAACGAGATCGCGGATACAAGCGGCCAAAATGAGTTTCCTCCGTAGGGTGGCCGGGCTCAGCCTTAGAGATAGGGTGAGGAGCTCGGACATTCGGGAGGGACTCGGAGTAGAACCGCTGCTCCTCCGGATCGAAAGGAGCCAGTTGAGGTGGTTTGGGCATCTGGTCAGGATGCCTCCTGGACGCCTCCCCGGGGAGGTGTTTCGGGCATGTCCTGCCGGCAGAAGGCCCCCGGGTCGACCCAGGACACGTTGGAGAGGTTACATCTCCAATCTGGTCCGGGAACGCCTTGGGGTCCTGCCGGAGGAGCTGGTGGACAAGGCCGGGGAGAGGACGGCCTGGAGCTCCCTAGTTGGGATGCTGCCCCCGCGACCCGGACCCGGATAAGCGGAGGAAGACGAGAGACGAGAGACGAGGATAAACTTTGCTAAAGAGCTGCAGCTCGGTGATAATCTCCTTGTAAAACTATCGGCGCTACATGTGTCAGTTTGGGTTAATCAAAGCAGGTAAACAGAATCTTTCCAGACAGGTGATCATTTAAAGTAACAATAGATGTTTTATTTTTAACTCTAAGCTAGTGCCTTAACAATAATCTCAGTGAGTTTTGGGCTAGAAACTTGACCAGTTTTATATTTGACACCACTCTGTAGCCCTCTGCTGATCAAAAACAGCACTAGATAGTTTAGTGGAGCGGGTAGGTGCCCTATAAGTGGAGCTCTTTACCTGCTTCACGGCTGTTAGCTGTAGCTGTTAGCATTTTCATTTTGCCGGTCATCAATAAAAAGCACAAGACGAAGAAAAAAAAGTTTGCTTTTTCTGTTGGCATCATGGCAGAGCCTGGAAGTAAAAGTAAGAGAGTTATGTCTTTGGAGGTGAAGCAAAGAGCTACACTAGTTTGAAGGAGCTAAAGGACGCTACAACATCACAGACTGGTGGTGACCTGGCTTTGTTGCTACTGGACGTGTAAGTAATACTATTTTTAGGCCCTACAGTGTGGATCTTTTTACTTTATGGTTTATTTTAGTATATTAGTTGGCTCGTTAGTGTTAGCTCGCTGTTAGCACTAGCTACTGCAGGGTTGTTTACGACAGCTGCAATTCCACTTTGAACCAGTAGGGCTGAGGAGCAGGAGACTGCTCACAGTTAGTTAAATCTTGTAACAGATAATATATATATTTTTGGTAATTATTTTGCAAAGTCCCTTTGATGTAAAATAAATTGCTCGACTTCATCCGTTTGCAGCATTTAATCTGACCCTTCATCCCTTTAGCTCAGCCTCCATTTTGGAGGACTTATCCTTTTTGAAAATCTATTCCTCTCCCACTGAGAGGCCAACACATATTGTTTCCTGTGCCACGCTTGTCCAGCTGTTTCTCTCAGGTATCCTTTTGTTATCACCCCCTCCCTCCTGGTATCGGCCACCATTTCCCAAAAACCCTTTCTCTTTCCTAGCAGCTTAACACAAAGTCCCCTCAATCCCCATGCTCCAAAATCGTCCTTCCTTCTGCTGTGTTGGTCCAAGTAGATTGGTGAAACAAACAGCCAGTGAATCAGAGTGAAGTGTGTGGGAGGGAGGGAGGGAGGGAGGGAGGGAGGGAGACGGGTGGGGCAGGGATATATCATCTATGCCAGTGGCTGGAGCCCATGCAGCTTAGAGCGCTGGATGAGCATAGTGAGATCAGCACAGATAAGCTGAGTACAGACCCACACAACACAGGAAAATACCACATTGCAGACTCCAGGCACAAATACACCAGGAGGGTCAACAACACAGACGTAAACGCTGTCACCAAGCCAACAGGCAAGGTCAAGAGCCACACACACAATCTGTAATGGGCAGCTGTAGGTGAAGTGGCACCAGCAGCACCATGGAAACATTTGCTGTGGTCACTCACAGAAAGAAGTCAGCAGGAAAAAACAGTAAAACAAAGCTCAGACGACTAGGATCTGATCTTTAATAGTCATAACTGTTTCTCTGTTCCAGAGCGGTTTAATCACCCAAAGTCAAGTCATTTCTGAGGGGGTGACAGCACAACAGGGATGAATGGCGTCATGCTGCGGTGAACGCCGACCCGACGCTGGTCCGCCTCTGTGATTGCTGCAGCCTGTTAGGCCCCTTCACTGAGCATTAACTTAAAGGGCGCTCGACACACCACACTATTGTCGGTGTGATCCACGGGGACTCTCCAAAACGACCCTACAATGTGGGTGTTTGAGCAAGAGGGCACTTGAGGAAACACGACACACGCTGTACTTGTGATTGCAGCTTTGAATAAGGTACTCAACACGTTTCTAATGAAGCCCTTCGCTCGGTTTCTAGGAATGCTCGAATCACCTTGGGCACCAAAAGACTGTGAAATGACTCTGCCGGGGTCACTTAACCTTCCTGGAGTGGCTAATGCAGCAAGGAAAGACCTTGGGTGAATTTTGAAATGATTGGCTGCTGTGAACAATGATAACAATAGGAGCTGGATGCAAAAGATTTTGAGTATTTTTTTTAGATATTTCCTGCCTAAAAATAGTTGGTCATTTTAGTTTTTTGGTCCACTTTGTCACTGCTCTCATGGACCTGAAAGCAGTTCAGTAGTAGAGCAGAGAAATGCATTGTCATGCAACATTTAGCCCATTAGGTGGCAGCAGATGGAGCGTACCAGTAAGCTGCAGCAGCAGCAGCAGCAGCAGCCAGCGGAGCCTGTCAGAGTGAGAGCAGTCTGCTTTAAGCTCTTCATTCTGTCTTCTCCACTCGGCCGGGATTAAGGCCAATCATAAGAAATCACTGAGTCAGAACCGTCCCA